AGAGATTTCCAAGCAAACAGAAGTGCCTAATCCCTGGAAAGGGCTGGAATTTAAGATTCCTATTGGCTAATTCCAAATGCTTCTCTACTTAACATGTCGCCTGTTTTGAATCCCATTCTTAGATGTCCAGCTATCCCCATTCACTGTACAAGGAATCTAGGTGCTTAACTCTGGGCTCTGAATTCCATCCAAGTCCAAGTGATTTGAAGGTTGGTGTTATGCTACGTACTGAACATCGTGGTGTCAGAGCCCATTTTAGAATCCAGCCCATAGCTCCTAGAGTGGAGAGGAACATGAAGGCAGTGTGCCAGATGCTCGTTGCTGAGACTGAATGAGGGAGTAGATGGGGACTATGGCTAGGACTTTCTGGCCAGTAGAAATGGGCAGTTGCCAAAGTAGGAAATAATTGTAATGGGGGGAGGGGGAGGAGGGTGCAGGGGAGGGAAGTTTTTGTATTCTCAGTAAAAGCTCAAAATTATTTTGGGACAGTGTAGCAACTCTCCCCTAGGTCAGGGCTATGCTTAAAAGGTTTTGTCCAATGCCCAATTATACTAATAGAAGTCTTTCCCTTGATTTCAGTGGGCTCCCTTGATTTTCTTTGATTTTATATGGCCTAGGATGGACAATTTACTTAATGATTTTGATTCAGAGTAGTTTATGCTAGTGGTTTTTCTTCAAATACATTTAAAAGTAACTTTCAGCTGACTTCTTTGCCTATGTCTGTGCCTTGTAAGGCCAATTTCAGAAAGTTCCTCTGTTAAATAAAAGAATAATCCAGTCAAACAAGTAATAATTCTAACCATTTTCTCTTTAGTTTTCTTAAAAATATTCATTTTAATATTAACATCATTTTACATATGGAATCATAGAAAAGTAGGGATGAAAGGGACCTCACAAGGTCATCTAGTCCAATCCCCAGCTCAAAGCAGGATCATTCCTGTCTAAATCATCCCAGTGAAGTGTCTGTCCAAGCTGGTCTTGAAAATTTCCAGGGATGGAGATTCCACAACCTCTCTGAGTAATGTTTTCCAGTGCTTAATAATCCTCATAGAATGAAAGTTCCTCCTAATGTCCAACCTAAATTTCCTCTGCTGCAATTTGAGACCATTGTCTCCAGTCCTGCCTCCTGTGGCTATAGATAATAGCCTGTCTCTATCCTCTTTATAGCTGCTTTTCCGGTATTTGAAGTTTGTTTTCAAATCTCCTTAGTCTTCTGTACTCCAGAGAAATGTTCTAACCATATCTAGGATCATAGGAGAGGTGCAATAGGTTAGTGTTCCAGCTTGTTCCTCTCCAGTTGTAGCCCCAGTTACATATAACTCACAACAGTGAGGTTAAGAGGTATTTTGCCAACGAAACAAATGGCAATGGATGTAGGCCGGTGACTAGATTTAAAATTAAAAGGAGTTTGGCAGCCTGAATTTAGATTTAATTTGTCCTTATCTCAGAATCATGAACCAGACCTGGCTCAATGAATATTCTTTTACAAAACAATCCTGCTTTGGAATAGCAAGATGGATATGAATCAGGACTAAGAGACATTGTCATTGCTACTTCAGGAATTTCCTGTGATGCCTGTTTGTATTATGCCTGCCTTATGATTATGAAACTCAATCAGACAAAATTTGCATAAATAAACATAGTTGTCACTACTTTCTAGTGTCTGGAGATATTGGTCCAGATTATGGTTTTACTTGCACCAGAGTCCAAATGATTTTTATGTGCTGTATCCCTTTTCTCCCTACTGTTTTACACCCATTCACTGTGTCATGTCTCATATTTAGATTATAAGCCCTTTGGGTTTTTCTGTATCTTGTATATATATCCGGTATACAAGCACTTTCTCTCTCTCCTGTAAAATATCTAGCACACATTTGGGTTCTATAAAATGAAGGTAATATTAAAGAATGGCTCAAGTATGCTCTAGCTCCACAGGGGACTTATTTGACTGGAATTATTCAGTCCCTCTACACGTAATAAAGAGGTAGATCACAGCAAGCAGAAGATGTAGAAGCAGACAATGAAGGGAGAGATCTGTAGTCTCTACATGAGTTGTAGTAGTCATATATACAGGAATCCTAAATGTGTATATCCAACTGGGAGGAGAGCTGACAGCAGTAGTTGGGTTGATCTGGAGATACATTGAAACAGATAATGCAAGAGAAGAAAAAAGATACTCTCCCTCAGACATCAAATATCCTAATATATATTTGCCCTTCACTTGTCAGCAGACTTCAAAATGGGCAGCACCTGAAAACTTTATTTATCTAACAATACTTTGTTTGGCTAGACAGCATCTTCCAAAAGTTCTGACTGGCTGGCTAGGTCTGGGGAGTCGCAGGTGACAGGGCAGTGTGCAGCTGAGCTGGCTCACTTGAATCTTATGTGGGGTAGAAGAGGTACAGCGCAAACAATAACATTTTGCATTCTTCTGGGAGCCTTTGGCTTACACATTTCACAGCAAGTAAGCACTGGATTCGATACTGGGAAGATAGGGGTTTTTTTGAGTTAGGGAAAACACATCTTGTCAAAACAAAGGGTTGCCTTTTTTAATGCTTTTAATTAGATTGCAAGTTTGGTTGAAAGTGACTATGAGGTAAATGTAAAATTTGAGATTTCTATGAGGGTTTTTTAAACTTTTTTGTTTATAAAAAATAAATTCTACAATCAACCATGTTGCTAAATAGATGGGAAACTGATAGGTCTCAAGATATGATTGTAAATACAGAATTGTCATCGAGCACTTATTTCTAGTGCAGTTCTCCCAAGATTGATTCTCATTTTATGTTGTTAAACCATTTTATTAGGGGCACAACAACAACAACAACAAAACTGTCACTGATAAAAATTGTTCATGACACAAAGACTGAGGTAGTGCTAGGTAATGATGAGGATGGGCTACTCATCCAGCAGGATCTGGACTTTGGCCACAAGAAGTAGTATGATCCTTTGGTGTTTAAATCAGAGAAGAATGCAAAGGAACAGAAAGTTGTTATTTTTTCTTTATTTGGTGCTGCAATATTGTGTCCAGTTCTGGTGTTGACAGGTCAAGGAAGATGTAGAAAAACTGGAAGGGTTTACAGAACAGTCACAAAAATATCAGAAGAACAAGGAAATGTGCCTTTGATTCAAAGACTGGATATGAATATATTTATTTTCTAAAAGAGAAGGTTAAGGATAACTTCATTACAGTCTAGAAGTAGCTACACAGAGAAGAAAATGTTGATAATGGGTGGCTGTTCAGTTAAGCAGAGAAAGGTATAACTTAATCCAATGGCCAGAAGCTGAAGCTAGATAGATTCAGACTTGAAATGAAGAATAAATGTTTAGGAGTGATGTTAACTGACCATTGGAACAATTATTCAGGGATGTAGTGAATTTTAAAATTAAGATTGGATTTTTTTTTTTTTAACTAAAAGATATACTTTAGGTTAAACAAATTTATTCATGAAGAGTCCATTATCTGAGTTATGCAACAGATCAGACTAGGATGATCACAATGGTCCCTCTAACTTTATAATCCATCAATCTATTAAGATTCTCCTCCTAAGAAGGGTAGAGGACAACTGTATCTGGGGAGCACTGATAGATAACTCCCACAGAGCCTTTTTCCCTTTGCACAGATTAACATACATTTAATTGGGCAAGGGAGAGTATGCACGTGAATGCATCCGTATTGGTTAGGATACTTATCTGGGCTCCAGTCCTTGCTCCAATGACTATTTAATATAAAATACATAAATTGTTATTGGTATAGGGAATCCAGCCTTCCACCAGTTCCTAAACATTGTAGACTTAGGCTTACATTTCCCTGGTGCAATAATTGTTCAATGTACAGCGTGGCAGGGGACCACAGCATTCCTCAACCCCAGAATACTCTAAATCTTGGTAGTTAGATCATTTTCATGAAATGTTGGAGATGCTTGCTCATGTCTCTTCAGGAAGGAATTAAAGCTGGTCACCCACAGCCTGGATGAATTCTGTAACCACAGCCTATTCAATAAAATGTCATCTTTTTATCCATAAAAATGATCCTTTATGTAGAAGGAATGTTATAGGTGCCTAACTCCAAAAGATGGTCCAATGTTGTAATATTGAGATTTGGAGATCTATACCTCCCTGAACCCTAAAGTAAGGGATATGTGTCCTAAACAGGGATGGGCTTTAGGATGTACCTTTTCCTTAACATGTCCTAGAGATTTGATTAAAGGGCATCTCCAGGCTGTTGTGGATACCATTCTTAGGTGTGCAGCTCTTCTCCAGGCATTGTATAGACAGGCTAGACACCTAACTTGGACCTTTAGGGCATTTTTACACATGCTCTCGGACATGGCACTGGGTGCTTTAATTAGCGAGCTGCACTAATTAAAAGCGCCCACGTATCACATGTATCAGCATCCCTGAGCATCTCATAACAGAAAAAATGGCGGCAGGGCACTTTGAACTTAAACTCATCAAACGTGTTTTATTTCAAAGCACATCACCACCATTTTTTCGGCATGGGGACGCATGGGGATGCTGATACATGTGATGCGGTCCAGGAGATTCGATTAATTGATTCTGCTTCAACACGCTGGATTTCCAGCATGTTGGAGCAGTCTCCTTGCTTGTCTATAGGAGCGTGTAGATTCCACGAGTCAGTAAGGCACCTAAAATTTAGACCTTGTTAAACATTGTGATGTCTACATCCTTTTGTGAATCTAGCCTTTAAGTTGACTTTCTGAGAGATGTTCCACTTGACAATGCAGTTGGAATTGATTTATTTTGCAGTTGAGCATGGTTGAAACTCATTGCTAAGAGCTTCAGTATAGAAGATGAGTGAAAAGAGTAGCAAGAGATAGTTTGCACTAAGCTCACCAACACTTTCTGGATATTTTATCAATATCCCAATCTAGAAAATGCATCTGAATAAACAGAGTGTAATATGAACAGCCATAAAATAGGGAGACTAACAATTCAGAATAAAAGGAGTCAGTGTGTTGTGACATTTTCCCCACCAGACTACAGATGAGAGAGTACAACTGTCTGACATAAGACCCAGCAGGTGGTACCAGTTTCGAGTGGCAGCCGTTAATGTGCACGGGACAAGAGGCTTCACAGCACCCAGCAAGCACTTCCGCTCCTCTAAAGGTTAGTGTTCTTTTCCTCCATCTGACACTCACCTTCAACTTGGTCACACAGAATGCAACACAATCCTCACAATATTTTTCTGTCTGTAGATTTTCAACAGGTGCATTTTTTGTATTTAGTCATTAGCTTTAGGAATGGGACTACACTTGTTTGAAGTTACCACATAAATTAAAGGTTAAAGATGCCATCGTTCTTTTATCTGTACAGGGGTCTCAGAATATTTAAACTTCTTTTTAGGCTCTTTCAACACTGCTAGTATCAAAATTGAACTTCTCCTGACCACATGACACTAAACATCAAACATGAAAGAACTGGGGTTTCAACAGATGTTGTTGTTAGAAGTTTCCATTTCTTTTTTCTTTTTTTTTTCCAGTTGTCATGGGGAATATATCCCTGCCATCTGCTGGGCAGATAGTATCACAATGCTTTGTTGGCTGTATTCTAGCAGTTAAAGGACTAATATTTTTACATAGACTGTCTCTCTTTCTTTTGTCTTTCTCTTTTGTGAAGGTGATCACAGGCACTTAGCCAGCACCAGAAATATAAACCCTAAGCAGAATATTGAAAGGAGAGAAGTGACAAGGACTCCAGGAAGTATAGGGATATTCCTATTGCTATTAGTTTTAGCTGGAAGCTGCTAAGTGACAGGTGGCCACAAGAAACCTTTAAATAGATGGGACTTCATTTAATTTGGACAATAGTGACATCATTCTTTAGTGATGTTTAACACAGTACACTTCAGGAACAACATTCCCTTTTATTTCAATATGTTTTAGGATTATCAATATTTTTAAGGCATCAGAACTCCATTGGGAAAGCTGGAGACAAATATTCAAGATTGGTTTAATTAACCAAGCAACAGTCATTAATTATGATCATACTAATTCAAGGGTGAACAATTATTTGGGCCCATGGGCCACTTTGGGAGTTTTGGGGAGCTGTCGCGGGCTAGGTCAATACCCCTTCCCCCCCACAACAGCTCACCAAACCTCCCTGTGTGGGATAGGGCCATGTGCAGGTGGGGAGCTGGCATGGGCACAGGCAGCAACTTCAGCAGGGGCTGCTCAGCTGGGGCCTTCACTACCACCAGTACTGCCTCTGGGCTGCCGTTTGTACCCCAAGGAGGAGCTCAGGCAGATGCCCCAATCCCAAATGGGAACCTGCTGGCTGCATCCACAGCAATGCCAGCAGCTGCCCAGTGCTGCATTGGCGTGCAAGCTGGGAGCTGATGTAAACTGTGGGGATGTGCTGTAGGTGGTGGACCTTTTGGTTGTGGGGGGAGGGAGAGAAAGAAACACAGAGGGAGGCAGCTCTGCCCACAGTGAGTGGTGGTGGCCTGTGCTGGATGTTGGGAAAAAACAGGACCTGGCAGCAGGTACACTCACCATGGCTTAGACCCTTCTGGCTGCAGCCACCCAGAGCCCACACTGGGGCTGCCCTGTGACTCCTCCCCATAGCTACTTCTGCCCCGCAGATCCTGGGTGGCCCAAGCAGCCTAGTGCTGCTGGCAGCAGTCACGGTAGCAGTCTCTCCCTCCTCCTTCCCTCCAATCCAAACCATCCTGCACCTACAGCACATCGCTGCAGCCTACACCAGCTCCTGACCTGCAGACAAGACGCCGTGCTGGCATCAGCTGCAGACACAGTC